TAAAGCTCATATCATACACGAAGAGTACTCAGTAACAGCTTGCTTGATTAAAAACCCATCAAAACTTAGCCACTTCTACTCTGACTTAGCCACTTACGACCAAACGCATGCCGTTTCCTAGTTTAGTAATTAAGTTGCAGGAGCTTGTCCCTTCCGTAGATTGCAAGTTCAGGCAGTTTGCTAGTCCGGTTTACAGTGTATTACTGCGCTTGTCCCATATATCCCCTCCCCCACTAACAACCTTACACGCGCACAAAGACTGTGTTTGCAGGCGTTATATTATCTCTGCTTTCGCACAGAGATCAAGGATTCCGTGAGCGTTAAGCGCGGCTAATTTGTAGTCATTCCACGTGATCTAGATATAGCCATAACGCGATGTCATTTAGACGAAGAAACTTTGTACCGACCACGTCTAGACGAAAGTTTGAAAAGCGGTATCGCAGGCTAAACAGGCTGGGCAGACACCGCAAAAACAGCTGCGGTTCCTAGAAACATCACTGCTCACCTCAAGTGCAACTCCTTACCTATCTCGTCCTGTATGTTCTCATAAAGACCCATCTCGGCGACACACTTTGCCTTTACGAACCCCTTACATACAAAGTAGGTTCCATTTTGAGTGCTGTAGAAGGGCCCACAGATAGGATAGCATGGCTGCTTAACCAAATCTTTTCGCCACTTCTCAAACATGTTCCGGTTCATCTCACAAACACCAACATGCTTTTGGACAGGTCAATGCTCACTTGAGACATGGTGGTGTCATGGAATCCTTCGATGTGACATGTACACGAATGTGTCCAACGAAGCAGCCATGCAAGCAATTTTCGAGCTTCTATGTAAACATCAGCAGTCCATCATTCTGGGTAAGTTTATTACGGGCAGCTGATGACGATTCTTCACGAGTGTCTAAACTGTAGCATTTTCCTCTGGGCAGAAGAGTATTATGACAGATATGGGGTTAAGCTATAGGGCAGAGACTGGCTCCTGCATTAGCCATTGCTCCTATGTCGAAAGTGGAAAGTCCAATCTTACAACATCAACCTCTTCTTTACTGCCGATATATCGATGAATACAAGAAGTGCATTGCACTTACAGCCTGCCTCAACCCAGTCAGGCCAAAATCGGCATGGCGGGAGTCCTCGTCGCTAAGGTTTTGCGGTCACGCCTACGGCTTGCTTCTACGCTCTTTCTTCAATTCTTTTCTTTCTCCGATAGTGCGCAAATGCAGTGCAAACGCCTAGCACTGCGAACGCGCAAATGCACGCCGACGGTTCGGCCTGATTTCGATTGGGCAGAGCAGACTGTACACGTAAAAGACAAGTAACCATTGCAGGCCAAAGGGTAGAATTTAACTATAAAACTCTTAAAGATAAACAAAGTAAGAGCCAGAAATCAAGAAAAAGTCAGATTACCTTCATCGCAACCATCGTTTCACATCCCAAGGGTAGATATGTTTGCATGCTTTGCCTTTGTTTGTCCCGTATGTTTGTTTTTGTACGTTCTCATATGTTTTGTATTCGCAGCGAAAGCGGATAATTTAAGCAATTTTTTTTAACTTGGTGCATTATAGTTTCATAAAACTGGTCATACTGATCCGTAGGTTTCGGAATAGTTCCATCACAGCGCACAACTCGAGCGCTGTGCTGGACCTGTTCCAAAACATACGAATCAGTATGAACTTAGCCTAAGTGTGTTTTAAAAAGTTTAGAGATTACATTTGTACTGCTAGTTTGGCAACATCTGCCACATCGTAGCGCTCCACAGGGTCTATAATTGATTTAGCTCACCAATGAACTAGCTTAAACTGTTTAATAAACTGTCGTGGCAAACACAGTCAGAACACAGTGAACTTTTTGATATGTGCGTACAACAATCTGTTTGTGGAAGGCAATGACATTCTTTACATTGTATTGGTTTGTGTATATTCAGTGCTTCGGTAATCTCCTGTGTATATTCAGTGCTTCGGTAATCTCCCAAGATCAGAAACACTTCTTTTAGGCATTGGTGCATCCGTACAAGACTTCAGCTTCAAAAGTGATTTCTGTCGAGCCTATCCTCTAAATTTGCTATTACATTTCATAATGCTTTGATTGATTTAGGTGAGTAGATTGTTCTATCATTATAAATTTGTGATATTAGGTAATGGCGCTCTGATTTGGAAAAACAAATGATGCTAATGGTGACTTCCTTGATGCTTCCTGAATTTTGCAGCTGTGAGAACCAAATGTGCTTTCAAATTTTTCATTGCATCTCAAATCCTCGCTCCGATCAGCACGACCAAAGACTGTTGCAATATGAGACTTGTGCCTCACTTGCTATACCAAATTTTCAACGAACATAAAAATGTTAAGGATTTAACAGCTGCTAAACAGCCAGCGATGTAAATGAGTCAGTTCAATAGGCATTTTTCGATGGTTCGATAAACTAATCTTCTTATTTTGAAAAATAGGTCTCTTTTCGATGAAAGTGTTTTTAGGCACAGTCAAAGGTTGGTTGGAGAATGTAGAGACACATATCGGTATACACAGGAGATTTGGCAGCGTATGTAACAAAAAATTTGGAATAGAGCTGATTCAAGCAAGATAGAGGACTTTTCTGTATACGGTGCAGAGAAAACAAGCCAAAGAAAATGAGAAGATTAATATTGCAATGGTTTGGTGCCACTTTTAAGTAGCTTAAGTTTTCTTTAGATTCAAAGCATACAAAATCTGTTATAATCCAAAACTTTTTTTCTGAGTACGTCACAAAAGCCATTGCCACATAAATCATAGAAGTCACAAACACAATATATATATATCAGCTATATATATCAGCCAAACACAATATATATATCAGCTAGTTCCAAAATCACCTAATAAACTCTCCTTTCCTTATGTTTCCTTGGTTCCAACAGAGACTAGCTTTGCAATAGCAATTTTAGAGCTAACTTTACACTTTCACCTATGCAATAAGGCTACAATTGCCTTTGATCTTGTGCACAAAGAGACGAAGTCATGAAAAAATTTTTTTGATGCTTCTTCTCACAAGATGCAACTCGCAACCAGTGCTCTTTACGAGATGAAACTTTGGGCAAATGAAAAGCCTCTTTGGAAAGTTCAGAGTTTGCGCTTTTTATTGCGATGCGAAAAAGCTGCCCAGAATATGGGGCTGTTTGTACCAAGGCCGTTTGGTTTTTTTATTTCGAACATTTTTTCTGTAGTTATAAAAAGCAAAGAAACTTTTTCAGATATTACTTTTATTATAATTGGTACCAAAACCTAACTAATTTGAATAAAAAAGTCTTTCTGACGATGAATATTCCACGGCCCATATTCACAAAACAAAAGAAAATCGTTTCAATCTAGAGTAAGTGAATGGGGAGTTCGCGGACTTCAAACTTGCAGCTGCACTCAAGTTTTGTTACAGGCGTAAATATTATAAGCAATCAAACTTGCATCTAAGCGCAACTTTTCTCGCAAAAGATGTGCGAGGTATTAGAAAACGTCCTTAGCACGTTGAAAAATTTGGCTCTTTTTGCCAAGAAGGGAGAACTTCAAATTTACTGAAAAAGAAAATGGAGCGTTTTTAGATGCAAACTGGTCAGTATTTTACACTTTTTTTAGAAAAAATTTTTTCCACATGTAGCGTTCCAAAATCGTTACTCAAAATCATTAAAGCAGTAGTAATAGCTGCTCAGCAACTACCTATGATCTCTTCAGCTTTCATTATGCTGTTACATGCATCATGCACAAGCAGACCTATTTCTGAGTCAACTATGCATTGTGGGGGAGGGGGGAAATGTTCAAGGCTACTTTTTGAAGATAAGCTGAGCATTGTCCCTGCAGGAAAACTTGCACCTCACAAACAGCTCAAATTATAACAGTTCGAGAAAAATTTCTCAAGAGTTCGAGAACTTTTATTAATCTACTATTTAATCTTTTATTAATCTTTTATCTGACTTACCCGGCTCCGCCCCGCCCTCTCAAAACATTATGATGAAGCTCTCATCCCTATCCCACAATTTTGAAAACTAATATTATATTCGTAATCAGCATGCTCGATTACCCCCCCCCCCCCTGCGCCAACTCCCAGCCCCGTAGGTCAAACTCTATGAAAAATCGATAAAATCATTATCGATCGATGACAAAGAGTAGCCTGTGACACCCGCCCCGCCCCGAAGTGTATGTGTGTCATGTTTGGTCCGCATAGGTTCAGAAATGGCTGCGTTTACACTTATTCCGAAGTCCAGGAACAGTTAGCACAGTGCTCAGTTCGAGCGCTGTGCTGGAACTGTTGTCGAACTTCCGATTCAGTATGAACGAGCCAATGGAATTTTCTTTTCGGAACATACGTACAGACAGACATATTTACAGACATACAGACAAACAGGCAAACATAGTTTCAGTTTTTATATATAAGAAAAATAACGGCCAGTACCGCTTACATTGCCACCTTCAATTACGGTACTTGTACCTCCCAAATACGGACTTCTGTTTGAAGCGGTAGGAAACGAGTATTTTAACTTCACTTCATTTCTAGTTCTCTTTAAACATAGCGATTCTTGTATTGTAAGGTGATGGTCATTGATGATCAAAATAAATTTTTCGAGAACAGGAATTTCATCTTGCGCATAAAATTTTTCTGTGCTCGCTTAGACTACGATATTTAGAGTCTTTGTAGAAAAAGCTTTTGCTCTCATCAACAAGCATTTTTGTTCTTTGGTATCGAAGAGTGGACAACCTTCACGTCAAAAGAGAAAGACAAGAGTTCAATCATTACGAATTCTACCGCTCCAGTGAAATATAGGCTGAATCACGAGCATCACACTTCATCAACTCATTCGTTACAAACGCAGGTCAGCTTTCATTAAACTTTTTAAACCTTCTAATCGCAAGTTCGCTTCAATCCATCTTCTTGAATATCCATGTCTCTCAAAAGGAAACTTAATCAGTCACAAACGCTGCACTGTCGCTCTCCCTTCGCGTACCAGAATAAATGAACCCAAAACTAATCAGAATTTTTCAGAGCACACCCATATTGCTGAAATCAAATATGAACTTTTTGTTTTTCTTTTTCCTCCTGGGAGCTTGTATCGTAACGCTATCGAATGCTGAAATGTAAGCTGAAGTTACGTTGTCCTATTATGCAACAAAAATGTTGTGCTTTCAGCAGTGAAACGTGTTGCAAGAGATGCCATCCAAACAGCCATTGGTTGGGCGGCAGGCGTCGCAGCGAGGCGGATTGCAAAAAAGAGTGCCAAGAGATGTTCGATGACTTAGAACATGCATGCGAAAATTTTGGATGGTAAAACAACGAGCAGTCTTTTTCTCAATGCCTGTTTCTTCTTGTGATAAGATCAAATAAAGCATTGTGTAGCATGTTTGCAGAAAAAATCAACGTAAGATATTTCGCTAAGACAGTGTGGTAGTACCTAAGTACGTTCGCTCTGCAACAGGGTCAGCCAATTGTCAGCAGTTATGTTTCGTATCAGATCAGTTGAAAAATTCTCCTTAGCTGAAAAAAATTTAGCTGAATGCAATGACTAAAATTGCCAGAAAAAAGATTCTTCCAATCACAAAAGTAGTCTTATTATTTGCGGTTGTGTAAACCAACGTTTCCACTTTTAATGCACAAATATCTTCAAATTAACACCTCCTGTTGTGGTTATGTTAACGTTAAGAGTTCTATATATAACCTTTTTGATAAAGTTGAGGGAAACAGCGCGGCATTTTACTCCCATTTGTTGTTCCATTATGACCATAGAAGCTAATCATCTGAAAAATCAAAACGGCACTCATGGCAGCAATCGCCGTCTTAAGTCTAAAAGAAAAAATGGAGTTCTCTAGAAAAACAAATTGATCAGACGTTAAATTTTGATTTATAAGAAATTAGATGCATTGAAGCAATGTAAAGGAAGTAGATGCTTGCTTCAATGGCTTCATCTGCATATTTCGGCATTTTTGTGCAGTCAATAAATTCACTTTAAACAGTAACATTTACAAGTTAATCTTCATATCTTCACTGCCCATCATGGTCTGCTGACTCAACGTGGCGAGGAGGTGCGGCTGGGTATAGTAAGATGGCTCAAACTCAACCAAACACCCTAGTCAAAGCAGATCGTTTAAAATTATCCTGTCAGGATCCGTTGCCATTTGTCTGTTACGGCGAACAAAGTTCCCGGCGTTCAAAACCACTAATGTCATCTTAAAGTAGCGACAGCCTTGAAACAGCCCGAGCGTTTCAGTTCGACTATCTAGAAACTTGTTGTGGCTTGTTTAGCTGGACACCGGGATTGGTATATTTTTTATTCGACTAACGTTTCAGCGGTATCACCTTCTTCGGAGTTTGAAATTGTCGAATGCATAAGTGAACTATCCTATCAAAAACCGCCTCAAGACTTAGGAAGACGCCCAATGCGTCAGTGAGCCGAGAACTCGAAAGTGAATGCAGGATTAAACTAATGCTTACCTAAACAGATGCCGACAAAGTGGTATTGCAGACCACTATACCAGTAACTGAGCTCATACTTTCTTATATACCTATTCGCCTGGCCTCAACTTGACCTCAGAAGCTGCAAAGGCTCTGATAAGGCGCCAACTCATTAGTGATATCTATGCGCTCATTGTTTTGATTCAAATTTGGACTTTTGGCGGTAATCCAAAATGCTTCTAAAGTTTTGCGCGCTAGGATTTCGGATTCGTATGCTAAGATCGTGACCTCCACGCGTATCTCTGCGTCATTATGGAACTGTCTGCGATGCTTGCCCAGTGGAGTTGCCGTGTTCGATTTTTTGAGCCCGTCTAGGTGTTCTTTGACGCGTATACATAAGGGCCGTCCCGTCTCGCCGATGTGCGTGCCTCCACATGTCTGACAGGTGATAAGGTACACTACCCCCGCAACCATGCAGTCGCCTTCCCCACCCTGCGGGCATATGATGCATCCTGGAGTCATGCAAAGCCTGTCATATGCCCTATTTCGTACTAGCTGATGTTTGTTCAACCCCTAAAAAGCTGTGGCGGGCTGTGGCACACCCTATAAACTTACCTTTAAACCATTTAAATATCTGCGTTTTTATATCTTTGCTATTGCTCAAACTTCTTCTTTATACGGAGAAAAAATCATTTGAAATCGTTTCCTTTGGGGAAAAGATATAGTCGTTTTCCCTTACCTATGCAAATGGAAAATGCTGCGAAAATATTGGATTAGGGTAACATGCTTAATCTGCCTACTATGTAGATCGCGGAAGAAGGCGACAGGGAAAATAATATTCGATAGACTAAGCCTCCAACGTGGAAATACGCTGGCGCCGCGTTCGCGCCCGCTCGTGTAATGCTGCTTCTGCGCCTTCGTCATGCAAAAGCCTTTACATAGTTTCATTCCCCACTAAAATCTTCGTTAACAACGTCAGATAAGCACTATGTAAAGTACTAGCATATTAGTCGTTAGGCCTACCATCGTATACGTCCAGTAAGCATAGTAAAAGTGCACTATTAGCATAAGAGCATCACTTTTGTAGCTAGAATGTTAAATAACTCCTGTGGGCCAAGTTTCAGGGAATTCTGAAGATTCTAAATATTGGGCCATCCAAATGAGATAGTGATATTCAAATATGTTACCTTCGTTTCGAAGGTGAGTTTAAGTACTTCCTTCTGCAGTTAAGCTACGGCTTCTTTTCTCAGACTTGGTGGCTTTTGGGCCACATGGAAAGCCGCCTGAGGTGGTTATAGAAAACTCATAATTTTTCCTTTCATCACATAGTTCTTACACTTTTTCATAACTTAAATCTACATTCTAAACACCCTACAAAATAATTCTTGAAAAGGCCTCCCACTCTCTCATCTCCGCTTGCTACATTCCCCTAAACCTGAAGCAACAGCAATGCTGCTCCAAACGAGCGATGGTGCGCGGAGACACAGGACGTATTCGAGACGCACGACATCTACTTTTGATAGTTTCGTTTCTCTCTCAGTCATAGTTTTAGCCGTGGAGCGCGGCAGACATCACGGACTTGCAGCAATCACACTCACATGCAAAGAACGAGCTGCGCAAAAAGGCAACCAAATAAAAGCGTCCTGGACTAGCGTGATTTCTTTGATCGATAGACTAACGGCATTCAAATTTCCTTTTCTGCTGCAGCTAACTACTTTTCAAGAGTTTTCTTATTTTATTCAGATCAGAAGTCGCGATAAAGAATCGAAAACATACCATTAAATTTGCGCATTATCAAGCTTGTTCGGCCTCTGTCAGGGTATTTGATGTTCGTCCTGCTAGTGTCATTGTCTCATAGAATCACATTGGAGGGAAAGAGCGGCCCGAATGAAGGCGCCTTTAAGCTTATTTAGCTCTACTGAGCCACCTGACATGATGTTACCCTAAAATATTAGTCCATCCCAAACTAGGGTACCCAAGACCTGCTTTTGTGAATGAGAAATTTGAATATGAGAAATTTGTCCCTTCTGTTGGAGTTATTGTTGGAAGTTGCACCAAACTCCATCCCCATCCACAGCCTATGCGTTGATTTTTCTTTAAAATTTACCTTACTTTCGGCACCCCATTGGTTTGAATTAGATCACTTCGATTTTGGAGAGATTTCCTCTCACAAGTTACAGATGTTTCATTCATTTCTCTAATCTATGACGCTAAGTAGTATTTGATCATCGTGGTCTATAAAAACGTTTTCGAAAATCTTTGTGATTGATTTTAACTCTCTCAATCAAATTCAACCTCTTATTTCGCTAAGTTTGATCACGATGGTCAATTTCCTATTCTTGCTCAACAAACGGGAGCGAAGAAGTGAGTGCGCGGTAAGACTCTTGATTTCTTTCGTACCACCTCCTGCTGAAGTGCGCACCGCGATTTTGATCAACATGTGCACGGTTTTGGGAACAGACCACTCTGTCGAGTGGTCTGTTCCCAAAACTACGAGCCAAAAGGCACCGTCTACACTAAATCTTGTATCGGAAAGATCTTCGGACTACCGTCCAACATGCCTGCTCGTTTGCTGTACAAGTTATTTACGAAGATTATCCGCATATCAAGAACACTGGGAGCTCTGCCCAAAAAAACATACTGAATTGTGCAATGGATCCAGCGGCGTGGACCCAATTCAGACGTTTCCAATTCTGCCGGGGTACTGCCTCTCGTCCTAGCCTTCGTCGACTACGAAAAAGTCTTTGACAGCGCCAAAACCAAAACCTGTATCCGTTAGTCGACAAGCGATGAACCCAACTTGCGTGAGGACATCAACCGACTGCTATAAGGGATGTAGAATGACAAGCAGCTAATACATACTTCCTGACCGTCTCACCCTACGGGTCGCTAGTCTTACATATGAAAAGTAAAATCAGTAAGAGAAATTGAACGACGCACTTCGCGAACGGCACTCAAGACTAAGATGGATTAAATGTATTCTTTGACACTGAAATGTGCTTGTAAAGAAGATCACCAGTACGGCCGATCAGCATAAAAAATTGAGCGATGCACTTCGCGAACGGCACTCAAGGTTAAGATGGATTAAATGTATTCTTTGAAACTGAAATGTGCTTTAAAGAAGATTACCAGTACAGCCGATCAGTAGAAAAAATTAAGCGACGCATTTTGCGAAAGGCACTCAAGAATAAGATGGATTGAATGTATTCTTTGATACCGGAATGTGCTTGTAAAGAAGAATGCTGTCAATGTTTGCTCGACCCCACTTTAATTGCGGGTGAGTCAAAGAGCATTTGTGATAGCGCCCGTTCTAATGCTAAATTTAGGCTACAAGTCTGAGAGGTTGATAACTTAAAGCTCATATCATACACGAAGAGTACTCAGTAACAGCTTGCTTGATTAAAAACCCATTAAAACTTAGCCACTTCTACTCTAACTTAGCCACTTACGACCAAACGGATGCCGTTTCCTAGTTTAGTATTTAAGTTGCAGGAGCTTGTCCCTTCCGTAGATTGCAAGTTCAGGCAGTTTGCTAGTCCGGTTTACAGTGTATTACTGCGCTTGTCCCAGATATCCCCTCCCCCACTAACAACCTTACACGCGCACAAAGACTCTGTTTTTGCAGGCGTTATATTATCTCTGCTTTCACACCGAGATCAAGGATTCCGTAAGCGCGGCTAATTTGCAGTTATTCCACGTGATCTAGATATAGCCATAACGCGATGTCATTTAGACGATGAAACTTTGTACCGACCACGTCTAGACGAATGTTAGAAAAGCAGTATCGCAGGCGAAACAGGGTCTGGGCAGACACCGCAAAAACAGCTGCGGTTCCTAGAAACATCACTGCTCACCTCAAGTGCAACTCCTTACCTATCTCGTCCTGTATGTTCTCATAAAGACCCATCTCGGCGAAACACTTTGCCTTTACGAACCCCGTACATACAAAGTAGGATCCATTATAAGTGCTGTAGAAGGACCCACAGATAGGATAGCATAGCTGCTTAACCAAATCTTTTCGCCACTTCTCAAACATGTTCCGGTTCATCTCACAAACACCAAAATCCTTTTGGACAGGTCAATGCTCACTTGAGACATGGTATTGTCATGGAATCCTTCGATGTGACATGTACACGAATGTGTCCAACGAAGCAGCCATGCAGGCAATTTTCGAGCTTCTATGTAAACATCAGCAGTCCATCATTCTCAGAGCCCGGCACGAGCTTGTCAAATGACAAGCTGGAAATCGTTTTCGGCCAAAGAAGCAAAGGGGAAATCGTTTTCGCGGGGTCCGGGGCGGAGCCCCGGAAGAAAAAATTGATAGTCATGACGGCAAAGTTATTTTAACAAGCTATCTTATCTTAGCGTATCTTAACATGTTACGTGCCTCAACAGGCGAAGACTGGAGTTCGCGCGCGTCAAACCGCGCCGTCGCTAATGGACGCACGCGCGACGTCGCTTACACGATGCTATTTGTAACAGCATACATGACTAGTTCTCAATGTATGCGTAACGATATGACACCAAATTTAATAAGCGAACGGAGAGAGGATAGTGGAAACAAAGTATGAAAAATTATGAAAAACTTATGTGAACGGAACGAGTAATAAGCATTTTTCCCCGAAAATTTTGCAAAATTGGTAAATGAAGATGTGAATTCAAATGGCTCGTTTGCAACGAGCAGACGACGATATGGTATGAAACTTGGTAGGTACATGGACACAAGCCTGTAGGAGTTAACATAGGAGTTTTATTGAAAAATTATGTGACTGAAGGTTGTGGCAAACTTTTTTATGAAAATTTCCCGCTACCAAGGAAATGGAAAATTGGCTCGTTTGCAACGCAGAGGAGACGAAATCGCGCGGGATTCGGTGTGTATATGCGCAGTAGGACTAAGTAACAAAGTATGAAATATTATGAAAAACTTATGTGAATGAAGAGTCTCCCCAACTTATTTCCAAATTAGCTTGTCATTTGACAAGCTAATGACAAGCTGAGCTTGGCAAAACTCTCAATTCACATAATTTTTCCAAAATTTTTACATAAATCTATTCTACGCCCAAACATTAGTATATAATGAAAATTTGGTCCCAAACCTCCTCCTCTCCCCATTGCTAGAGGCAAAAATAGCCTCAGCACCCCCGTTTCCTAAGGAGGAAAGCGCGCTCCAATCGATAACGGCGTCGCTGGCTCCTATAATTGCAGTTGCTTTCATATTTTCACTCCTCTCCCTCATTCGTCTTTGCCATTGTTCATCCTTTTCTTACATGCTTTGATTCGCACCCTTTATTCGCCTGCACCTGCAGTGTGCAAAATGGTAAAAACCGTTTTGTCTTACAGGAAGAAACAGAAACATTGCAGGCTGTCAGTCGTATGTCGAAGGGCGCACGTGAGATAATTGCGGAAATGCATGCTATGATATCTGCGCTATGCTCCATGGACTCCATTATCGACGAAGGGATGAGTGATGTGGAAAGATCCGCGAAATTATCACAAGGGTAGGCTAACTTCCTGTCTTCTCGTTTTCCCGCTGTCAATTAGACTCGTTTTGTGACCATTTTCATTTATTGTAGATCGGATTGTTGCACATCATAAAGATCTAAATCAGCGCGTTTCTTGCTACGAAACAAAAGTAAGTTGTTTATCTTCAATCTGATCTCTCCAAGTAACTCTTGCATTTAGTTGCGATGATCGAGGGTGAGACGTGCAGTGCGTCCGTTCGGTGACAAACTCATCGAGGCTCTACACTGTGAGTCATAAATTCCTTCTATTTTTACATCTTCTTACCGATGAAAGATTAATTGTATGTGTTATTTTTTTCAAGTTTTGTAACATTTCAGATGTGGGAGATAATCCTGTCAATGTCGTGGGTCATATTATGTCATCTTTTTGAACTCCTTTCTGCTGTTGTTTAGTAGTAGTTCTTTATGGTGCTTTCAATTTCTTAGTCATTGCATTCGACTAACTGTTTATGTTCAAGAAGTTTATTTCCTGCCAAGTGATGGTGACTTAGGTATCCTTCATACTACGCCGCAGGACGTCGCGTCCTGCGGCGTAGTTTGAAGGAACCCTTAGGCTGAGTTCATGCTGATTTCCATGTTTCGGGGCTGTTTCTACACAGTTCCCGCACTGTGCTGAAACTGTTCCGAAACTGCGCTGCAGCCATCCCGCACGCGTTCTAAAGGCGGGATGGAGAATTTTGACCGTTTTCAACGGTTTTTCTTCCAGATTTCTCTAATTTTGGCCTTATTCCTCTACCCTGCTTATCTTTTTGATTAGCAGGACTTCGAACTCGAAGCCGGGTTGAAGAATGAGTGCTTTTCTGCTCTGCGCACGCGACAAAACGTGTGTACTTATGCTCGTCCATTTTCTCTTCGCTTTATTTTTACTAGTATCTATTCCATTTGTTCCAGGAAGCCGCTGCATAGTTTCCATAGTCATCTGCCATGAATTAGTGAGTGCAGGCAGTTCTGAATTTGCATAAATTGGGACTTTTCTCTTGTTTTCTTTTTTTGACTTTCGTTTTTGGGCATTCTCGGCTTTTTCCTTTCTCCATATTGTTGTTTTTCCGTTCTCTCTCCTCCCCGCTTCTCCTTGTGTTGGGAAAAGCTGTCTTGAAGCGGGGCTGATGATTGAACGCTGTTCTGCTCCATGTATTCGGGCAGACTGGTCTTCATGCGCTCTCCATTTTCTCTTCCATTCTTGTTCAGGCCTATTTCATGTGTTCTAGAGATCTATCTATGTCCCTTTCTATACAGATGCGAGACTACGCAACGCCTTCCTGGAACACATAAAGTAGGTCTGTTAAAAAATAGCGAAGAGAGAACGGATGAGCGCACGAAGGCCCATCTTCCCGGATACATGGAGCAGAACAGCGTTTAATCATCAACTCCGCTTCGAGTTCGAAGTTCTGCTAATCAAAAAGAGAAGCGGGGTAGAGGAATAAGGCCAAAATCAGAAAAATCTGGACGAAAAGCCGTTGACGGTCAAAATTCTCCATCCTGCCGTACAAAACGCGTGCGTAACGGCTGCAACGCATGCAGCGCAGTTCCGTAACATTTCCAGCACAGTGCGGGAACAGTTTCGGAACATGTGAATCAGTATAAATCCAGCCTCAGAGCTCCATGTATGAACATCCGGGCCGGAGAGTCGATTAGTATGAAAGAATACTTCTTATCAATCTTGAGGCCTTTATTAACCGTACCCTACCCATCTTGAAGCTTACTGAGCCGCCTTTTCCATCTTTTTGCATAATTCTCAGTTGCTGACCGGTATTCTTTATGATCACTTATCTTTCTATGAAGTCAATAAAAATATTTGGAAGTTGTTTGATAATTTAATCCGACATTGCTGACAATGGGAACAAGTGGGCGGCTATTACAATATTGTTAACTAATTGCAATTTCCATACTTCTTTTTTCTTGATAAATTGACGAACCAAACCTTGGAACTCGGGGTTTCGAAATTTCAATATTTCGATAACTCATGTCTTCTCAAAACATGTTCAGCAGTTTTGGATTAGATAATTAAGCATAAGACCTCAAAAAAAGAAGAAGAGCATCACCCTAGGATCATGCAAGAAATTGAGAAGTACTTTTCATGGCAGTAGACTTTTATTCGAATTATTCATAAGTAATGATATAATGTGGACGCCGGCCAGCTTCCCATATATACCTGCGCGACGCACCCCCAACGCGCCTCCTGTCCTAGCTTCCGATGGAATTTCTCGCTTCCTCGGCAGCAAAAAGAGCCCGCAAAGCGTATGCGCGGTGAAAGTGCCTATGGTAAGCTGGCTAGGACACTTACTAGGCTGTTGCATAAGTTCTGTCCGATTTGAATTTTTGAGTTTAAAATGTCATAACTTCTTTCAGAGTCAACTTTTTTCCAAGATCTTAGTTTCTATGTGTTGAGCAGTCCCTTGGCTAAAAAATGCATATTGAGATCTGCGCAAATCTTTGTTAAGGAAGAACCAAGAATGCAAAAACTTCGCAGCGTTTTTCTTCGAATCTGTCTTTTTTGACATGGTAACGCTCCCTTATGAAAATTGATAGGCATCTTTTCTAATAATGGATGGATAGAGAAATTTTCGTAGATTATTATGCAACATAAAAGAGCCCATAGGGTTTGCGCTGCCGAGAGATTTTTTTGACCGAACAAAAAATTAGCCACTTTTTGACCTCGCTTCAGCACATGTGTGCATGCCTATTTATGAACTACGAACGTTTTACAACTGACGTGAGCGCCGAAAAGGAATTGGTGGATGGGCCCTGTTAGCTCTTGCTTTGCCCTAGCACCTCCAACTTTGAGCTTGTCGATTACTTCTATTCGCAGAAAGTTATTGCTTGTAAAACATCTATACCAAGGATTTATGTTCGAGGATAAATTTCACTAGCAAGACGTATTCTTCATGGGACCGAACTTCTGCATATACTAGCATTCCATACCCTTATTCCGAAGCCAATGAAAGAACCTGACTTGAAGGGCGCATTGTGGAGATATCCTCGCAAGGACATATTTCTAGGGATAGAACGTACCTCGGCCACTTAGAGATTTTAGGCCTGTGATCTCCGTATACTAAGAATTTTATTGAATTCTGGTATGCTTTAGAAAGCGCAAGGAAAGCACTTTTCAATGATACCAACCGTATCGAATTAGAGATGAAATTCTCTTAGAACAGCTGCTTCAAACATGAGGCAAAAAAATCGGACAGAACTTATGCAACAGCCTAGTACTATATACTTAGAGAAGGAACGTTGGCTAAGTCCCGGCGAATGTGTTGTTTTCGGCGTGTTTTTAACGTGCTCACCAATGCTTCATGCACGTCGTTATTGAGATTAAAAGATGTTATAAGGAGGGTATACACCATACGTGGAGAGGGCGACGAAGGGGAGGGCGGCCTGAGGAGCCGCTGCAAAGGCGCCATGCGCTGGTTGCGTTGCGGCGGCGAGCTTTACTCCTCGCGTAAACTCGTGCGCGTCGACTCGGGTCTCCTCAATGCAGTCCCAAAAATCAAAGCGCAAGTGGAGTTGCGCCTGAGAAGTGAAAGTCAGTGAATGAAAGGATCGGAATGTAAGGGTGGTGTAGGAGTGGAGTATCTGAGGGTGAGGATGAGTGAGAGGAGTGTATGGGAAGCAGGAGTGTAAGAGCAGATTACCTGAGGGTAAGTGAGTGGAGTGTTAGGTTTGCAGGATTCGGGTATTTTAGGGTGAGTGAGAGGAAAGTGTGAGGAGTATATGTGGACCTAGAGTTCCTGAGGGTGAGAGGTGTGATGACTGCATATATAGTGAGCATGAATGGTAAGGAGCCCTTCCTCCGTCTCTCCCCCTAAGCTGCCAGTGCATAGGAGTATTTTTTCATGTTGATCTCATCGCATCTCTGCTTTGATCTCCATGTCTCTTTTTGTTTCTGGTGTTGTCATGAATCACTTGTTTCTGCTTTTTTTCAATAAAACTTGTTCTCCGGGTAAAGTGTTCACTGCGCATTCACTGGAATCAGTTTTTGGGTCAAAGGGGAATTCGTAAAAAAATTCTGGGTCAAACGGGAATTCGTTTTCGAAAACCCCTTTTGACAAGCTCGTGCCGGGCCCTGATCATTCTGTGTAAGTTTATTACGGGCAGCTGATGACGATTCTTCACGAGTGTCTAAACTGTAGCATTTTCCTCTGGGCAGAAGAGTATTATGACAGATATGGGGTTAAGCTATAGGGCAGAGGCTGGCTCCTACACTAGCCATTGCTCCTATGTCGAAAGAGGAAAGTCCGATCTTACAACATCAACCTCTTCTTTACTGCCGATATATCGATGATTAATACATAGTGTGCTTCACTTAGGCAGAGTTGGACACCTGTTTTGAACTCCTTAACAAGCAATCTCCACATATAAGGTTCACTAGAGAGAAGCCCAAGGATAGGTGGCTACCATTTTTTGTGCTTGTGTATTTAGCGGAAAAAAGTGGAAAAAATAGTACCGAAAACGCAGCAGTAAAAACATTTTGGCCCACTACAGTTCAGGACACATACGGTCCACCATGAAGTTAGTCATCGCGAACATGTTAGAACAGCTAGAAACACCGCATCGGGGATAGAAGAACGACCGGAGTCGATGCAGTTCGCGTACCAAGTAGCAGAGGGCAATAGGTACTCACTGAAAGCATGCTGTCGAGGACTCGGATAGCCGAAAGGGATACGCGTTTTGTGAAGAACATGATTCCTTTTGCCGGCTTACGTATCGGAAAAAATGAGCAAGGCAGTATGAGCGTGCTTACGCCAGGGGCCTACAGGATTCGGTAAAGATTGCAGATATCCTGCAAAGTAATATGAAGCGGCTAGTACGCAACATAGCCTGCGATCGTCTTTGCATGAACCCCAACTGCGTTATTTGTCCCTATAGCAAGGTGGAAATTGCACTGTATTCTCTGTAGTTTACCTAATCACATGCCTTTCGTGCGGAGAGGAATATGATGGGGAAACAGATCCATTTCTGTCCGTCCTTATCATGGAACACGGGGACTGACTCAATAAGGCAAAAAGTTTATCGCTTATAGAAGACCACCGTCAAAAATCATAGCGATGCTGCAGTCAACGTAAGGCTCGCGATTTTGTCGTACGAACCGGAAAATGTATCACGCAAAATTTTTAAAACATCTTGGATAATGGCCAAAAAACTAAAATTAAACCGCAAAGGCAAGTGTACAACGGTTGTAAACGATGACACAAAAGCTTGCCCCTATTAGACCTTATGCAGATTTGAGCTACAAAAGGGATGAGGTCTTCTGGCGGGATGCGTTGGCGGGTCCTTAACGCATAAATACGTTAACCAAGTTTGGAGTCCCTTCCTTAAAAAAGATATTCTAACCCTGGAAAAAGTTCAAATGACTTTTACACGTATTTTATTTTATAGACTTTTCCCAAATTCTG